TCTCTCTCTCTCTCTCTCTCTCTCTCTCTCTCTCTCTCTCTCTCTCTCTCTCTCTCTCTCTCTCTCCGTGTATGTGTGTGTGTGTGTGTTTTCATATTCTATATACACCCAAGAAAAGCATGGTTGTCACCAACTCATCATGTGTGTGTGTGTGTGTGTGTGTGTGTGTGTGTGTGTGTGTGTGTGTGTGTGTGTGTGTGTGTGCACACGCACGCTCGCTTGTGGGCCATCAGGGAAAAATGCATGCCTTTCCAGGAGACCAGTATCAAACGGATGTGTTTCTTCTGAAATTACTGAAGTACTATGAGCTGGTTTCGAAAGAACCCATTGGACAAACTCGGGTTTCTCAGTGCGTACAACCTCAAAAACTGCAGGAAGCTTCGTCACACTAACCTCAGTGTCATCCTGGCACTACAGTCACATGGCAGGTGGAGTTTTTCCTTTCTACAGAAACGAGAAATGGGTTTGCACGTGAGTGCAGTCTTCGAATGTGGATACACCTAGTTGAGTGCCACTTGGCACTGAAGTTGAATGACAGCGAATTTTTTATTTTTTTTTCCCTCGTCCAAAAAACGGAAACTTACGAAAGAAAGAAGAAATGAACAAGACAAGACCAGAAGAACCCAGCTAAGAAACGGCTTTGTGGGTGAGTACAGTCTTCAAACTTGGGAAGGACCGTTCGACACACTTACTTGACAGTCACTGCCACCTTCGCATCTTGTCGCACACTTACAGTTGAATGGCAGGGAGTTCCTTTCTCCTCTCAAAGCAAAGTCACACTAGCAATATCTTACACCACCAGTACTTCTGGAAGTCCAGGTGCACATGCAGGCAGCCATTTCAACAGAGTGGTGACGTTTCCACTCGAATGAATTTATGCCAGCGCCCCAAATTCCATCTTGTCGCACCGAGAATGTGCCCACGACTTTCGGAGTACTGGTGGTTTAAATGTATCTGACTATAATTGCGGCCGGACCAGGACATATCTGACCCCCATTACGTCCCAAAATAGTAGAAAAGTTTTAATGTGAGTATGCCCTCACAAGAGAATCAGCCATCTCGTCGCACNATTACGTCCCAAAATAGTAGAAAAGTTTTAATGTGAGTATGCCCTCACAAGAGAATCAGCCATCTCGTCGCACTGAGAATGTGCCCACGACTTTCGGAGTACTGGTGGTTTAAATGTATCTGGCCATAATTGCGGCTGGACCAGGACGTATCTGACCCCAATTACGTCCCAAAATAGTAGAAAAGTTTTAATGTGAGTATGCCCTCACAAGAGAATCAGCCATCTCGTCGCAC